TCTTCATAGAATTCATACACTGAAATCACAACTCCCAGTATCTCAGAATGTGATTAAGCAATGTTCAAAAGAAAACTGAGAGCTATAAATGCCTACATTAAGAAAGAAGAATGATCCCAAATCAATAACCTAAATTTAGACCTTATGGAACTAAAAAGAGCAAACTAAACCCAAATATAGCAGAAGAAAGGAAAAAATAGAGTGGAGAGAAAGGAAATAGAGAATAGTAGAACAACAGAAAAAATGAACAAGACCAAAAGTTTTTTTCTTTGAAAAGAAATTTGACAAACTTTCAGCTACAAGGATTAAGGAAAAAAGAAGATTCAAATGACTAGAATCAGAAATGAAAATAGGGACATTACTATCTCTCTTACAGTAATTTAGAAAAAAATTCAGAAGAGAATACTAAAAATAATTGTAGGCCAACAAATTAGACCACCTAGATGAAATGAACAAACTCCTAGTGTTGAATCATGTAGAAACAGAAAATCTGAATAGACCTATAACAAGTAAATATTGAATAAGTAATCAAAAACCTACCAAGAAAAAAAATCCCAAGATCAGATGATGTCACTGTTGGGTATATGCCCAAAAGCAAGGAAATTCTCCCAAATATTTAAAAGAAGAATACCAATCCTTTTTAAACTCTTGTAAAAAAATGGAAGAGAGGAGAACACTTTTTAACTTCCTGAGGGAAAGCAAAATGAGAAATGACTGCTGAATGGATATAGGATTTTCCTTGAAGGAGATGAAAAATTTCTGAAACTAGATAGTGGATGGTTGCATAACAGTCAATGTAGTTAATGCCACTAAATTGTATACGTTAAAGTGGTTAAAAAGGCAAATTTTATGTCATATATTTTTCCACAATAAAAACCATTATGCTGAGTTTTAAAATGTAGATGTGAAAGAGCACATATTGTATAAAATGTCCAAGAATGTGAATACAAGAGATAAAGTAGATTAGTGGTTGCTTAGGGCTGGGAGGATTGGAGGGAAACTGGGATTGACTATTAACGGTCACAAGGTTTACTCTTAGGTTAATGGAAATGTTCTAAAATTAGATTACGGTGATAGTTACAACACAACTCTGTAAATACATTAATATTCAATGAATTGTTCTCTTATTATGAGTTAACTTTATGTTATGTAAATTATTTCCCAATACATTAGTTTTTTAACAAAACTAGATGGTTGACTCTCAAGTTGACCAGAAAAGTATCAAAGTTAGCTTAATACCAATCACTGTACTTCTGCAGAGCAGATAAAGTCATACATTCAATACAATTAGCCAGTAAAGCTGACAAAAAGAAAGCAAATTTATCAGCTTTTAGTATTTGTATGTCATAAACATTATTTTCTTACATATGGCTCAAATGACTCAAGTTTGACACACAAATTAAAAGACTCAAAGATGGTAAGGAAAAGGCAGGCTATGACCAAGTTATAATACTCTATGCACAAGCTTTATGCATGTTGTCTTTGCCCAAGAACACAAAACATATTTTATGAAAGGCCTAAATTATATGTAGATTACACGTAATTTGCCTAATTCTTGGCAGAACTATTTGTCTCTCAATGCAAAGACTGATTTTCTTTTCCAAATGGCATAATGTATGGATGGGGCATTTGTTTCTATCATATGCTTTTCCTTCTTTTTATAATTAGCTACAAAAACACAGAATCTGACAGGACAGTGAATTATAACCTGAATCTACTAAAACATCATATTTATGTTGTGAGTCAGAAAGTAGTCCTTTCCTCTGACCATATCTCTCAATTTAGTGAGTATTAAATAAAAAAAAAAAAGAATAAAAGTAATTTCAAATTTTGAGTGATAACATGACTGGGGCTGAAATTGACTATAATATCACAGTTGGTTCAGTGATAGATGTAAGAAAGAGTAAATGAAAAGCCTCATTTCATGCATCATGTAGCTGTGAACTCCTACCAGAGTCAAGAGAGGTTAGCCAGGAACTCAAGGTACTCTGACCTATGTTTCTTTTCTTTACCACCTAATTTGTTAGAAAAAATTACCATGAATTATACTGCCAAAAAATTATAAGGCAGACTATCTACATAAAAATTATTTTCTTGGAAACATTTTCAATAATTGGCTACCATAGCATCTTTGTTATTATTTCTATTTTATTTTGTGAACAAATAGAGATATTACTTCCATAAAGCTAGATACTCAATTAGAGACGGCTAGAGCAAGATGTCAAACCACAGCCTATAGGCGAGATCTGGCTTGCTGCCTGTTTTTGTAAATAAAGTTTTATGAGAACACAGTAATGCTCACTCATTTACATAGGGTTATGGCTGTTTACATGTGACAATGGCACAGTTGAGCTGTTGCAACACAGACCTCTGGCCTACAAAGCCTAAAATATTTACTATTTGGTTCTTTAAGAAAAAGTTTTCTATCCACTGCTAAAGAATTAACATTCAGTGGGCTGTTTATTATACCACTTATGCTAATATTTCTTGTCTCAGGACTAGTCAATTTGATGTAAGAAACATGATGTAGTCAAGAGAATGCAGTATTAAAGACAAAAACAAAAACAAAACAAAGCAAGAATTATTTTTGTGGCTGTGCTATTTGCCATGTGACCTTGGGAAAGTCACTCCACCTTTCTGGATTTATTTCCACACCTGTAAAATAAGGGATTTGAACTATATGAATGCTAATCATCCTTCCAATTAAACTATTATAGTCTATAAAACTTACTTTACAGATTAGAAAATCAGTAGTAAATGTATAAAAGTTCTTAAATATGATATTTTATATTTCTGCATGTAGACAAAAATCTTTGAGTTGCTTTAAATTTCATCATAAAACCACATTAAAAGTAACTAGTAGTATCCCAATTTTATGGGTGAGAAAATTTAAGGTTACAGAAAGGACAGTGACTTGTACAACGTTACTAGCATGTGCTTAATGTTTTGCTGTCTACTATATAGTGTTGACAACATGGCACATACAAAATCAGAGGCCATGAACTATAATACTTACAGAGCAAGGCAGACAATGTAAATTGTGGGTGGTTTCTGTGATGAAACAGAGAATGTATGATCTACTTAAAGGGAGCAGCCACCACTCAGAGCCAACTACTGACATATAGGCATGTGGGTCCAGTATTGCCAGATCTTTAGATTTTACAAGAGGCTGGATATCCTGAATATTATTTTAAATATTCCTATGTTTAAATGTTGGAAAACTGATTAAAATGTTTAAAAACAGAGTGGGCTGGATTTGGCTCATGGATGACAATTTGCAAATCTGTATTAAAGAAACTTTTTGACAGATTTGGGCACTAGAATATACCGATATCTCAACTTCACCATGAACTTTTAATTATCCAAAGTAATGGAGGATAGGAGAGATCACAACATCAGTATTATCTTAGTTTCCACTGAATATTCTATTCAAAGTGTTCATAGTAAAATCAAATGATTGAAAAAAATGTTTCCCCTTATTTCAGGCCTTCTGGTGAAGGTATTAACAAATAGACAAAGTGTAAACAGGTCATCAGGAAAAAGGATAGTCCTGGATAATACAGAAACCAACAAAACAACCACAACAACAATAAACAATCTATTCTTAAGTAATTGAGATTAGCTGTATTTACATGATGGGAAATTTGAACATTAATTCATACTGGGGCTTTTAAAATAATAGGGATGGGTAGCAGTTATTGATTGTAACTTTTAAAAGATATGACAATTAAGAAAAGGAATTTATGTTATCAGCTTTTTTTATTTATAGAAAGCCATTTGAGAATACTGTACATGCTTTGACAAACAATAAACTAAGCTATATTTATAGTAAAGCTCTGACCTACTTGTGATTACCAATAGGATCAATAAAATGTTAACTTTTCCATTCAAAAAGTCATAGAATTGGCAATATTTCATTATTTGCCTTTTTGAAGTAAACATTAAACCAGGTAGGAAAAGAATGGAGAGAAAAAAAATAATGAGTACTTCTTGGGAATATTTTTGGCTTTAATAAAACAACAGCACCACTAATTATTCTTCCACAAGGCACTATAATTTTGAATCTGATTTTGTCAGCTACTTATTATTTAAAAATTTAAATGAAATAATTCATATGGTACTAGGAAAAACACTTTAGGTAAAACGAATTAATTTCCCTCATCAGCTTCAATTAAAATATTTTAAAGGGCCGGGAGCGGTGGCTCACACCTGTAATCCCAGCACTTTGGGAGGCCGAGGTGGATGAATCAACTGAAGTCAGGAGTTCAAGACCAACCTGGTCAACATGATGAAACTCCATCTCCACTAAAAATACAAAAATCAACCACGCATGGTGGCAGGTGCCTATAATCCCAGCTACTCTGGAAGCCGTGGCAGGAGAATCGCTTGAACCCGAGAGGTAGAGGTTGCAGTGGGCTGAGATTGTGCCACTGCACTCCAGCCTGGGGGACAAGAGCAAGACTTCATCTCAAAAAAAATATATATATTTTAAAGGTATCCTCCCACAAGAAGAAAAAAAATTCCCAAAAAGTAAAGTGAAGTTTTAAAGAAGACAACATAAAGAGAATACTCTTAAATCCATGACAAAAGTAGTACTGCTATGCTAGCATGTAACATGTTTAAAAGTAGGAATTTCCTCCGCAAACTTTGTAGGTCACTCTCACTTTCTATATACCTATAATTTGGAAATATCTTAAGTTACAGCATCAGGTCTTTTAAAAAGAGTAAGTAGCCCACTTACATTCATAATTACTTATTATTTAACTTATACTGCATTTATGTGAAATGATGGGAACCCATATTAAGTGATAAAGTGTTGATAAAAGTTGGACAAATAATAATGTGCCTGTCCCTGAGTTTCCTTATCTCTAAAATAAAGATAGCATTGTCACGAGAATTAACTTAATTGTGTAAAGTACTTGAAAAGAGTTCATAACACATAGTAAGTTTTTGATAAATGTTAGTTATTATTATTATTATACAATAAAACAGTTACTCACTCTTTTGTTGAGACAAATAACAGGCCATAGGCTGCAACCCAGTGTGCAACAGCAGCAGAGACAACCACATAGCAGCCATTTCACATTGACTGGGAGAGCCTTTTTCAAACATGCATTCACACGGCCAATGCTGGTCTTAAATTCTTCTGGGGCCACCTACAAGAGCGCACAATCTTTAACAGTTTGTGGGCAGCTTTTATTTCTAAATCTAAGAAAAATGTTTATTACAAATAATTTAGGGAATCACAAATATCTAAATAGGTATATTCCCCATAAATATGTTCACACACTCATGGATGATGTTGAAAAGTGCAACAACATAATTTCATGTTCACAGAACTTAGCCTGATGTTGAAAAACGATCTTCTGAAATGACCACCAATAAAATGACTGCAATAAAATTGATGGAAAAGGATAACTTTCAAGCAGTTTTCTTACCAAATATTCTCATTATTAAGGCAGTATAAGTGATAGTCTCCAGTCATTCTGACTAAAAGTTGAGTAAGACTAGAAGCATAATAGAACAATAAAAAACCCAAATACTGCTAGATGGAAAAGCAATTAAAATTAGACCTTGGAAATACTCCTGGATTACTTTGAAAAAGGCAACTCTCAAAATCTTATTCCCTGGCAAATTTTCAATATAACAATTTTAACATTAGCCATTGTTTGAAGGGAATAGTTAAACTAACAAAAGACAATGTCTAGTGATTGCATTCAAAATGACCTGTTAATATTCAGTATAAAAAGAACTCATAACTACTGTAAATTTTCAAAGTTGAAAGGTCTTTAAATACTCAAGTTTAATATTTCTAGTTACTACCACCATTCCTGGAAGTGGCTGCTTGTGCTTCTCTGTAAACAAGGACAAAGTCAGTTCAAAGGCATGCACATGACTGGAATAATAAGATTTATACCAAAAAATCTGCTTGAAGGTTATACAATTCAAAGGTATACTAAAAATAGCTTGCTTTCAGTGAAATCACATTTTTGGATTACAAAAATGATTCCCTTTCATTTAGAAAGCTGTCAGACTATAAAGGTTATGAAAGAACTTTTAGCATCTGGCTATAAATGCAAAAATTATGAAACTGTTAGGAAAAGTAAGCTGTTATAAAATAAAAACCGCATTAGCATATTAGGAATCAAAAATATAGAGTTTTACTACTCTTCCAAATGAAAATTATACTCGAGGAATCGGTTTATTACATTTTTGTTTCTTAATAGGGATGTTTTAGAATCAACACTATAAAACATACACCTATTAGCAAATGTTATAAAGATACACGATCACAGAATTCAGTACTGAAGTAAGCTATACATTAAGTATATAAGCTTTATTAGAAGCTTTATTAAAATTGTTCATGTCACTCAGTAAGGTTAATTGCTTAGCCCATGAATCTGATTTTCTTACTAATATGTTAACAAACAACATAAGCTCAAAACTTTGTTTATACAAAATTTCATTCTCCATTTAGGCTGTCAGCAACATGATGTAAAGACAGTCACTGTGTACAAAGAATTCCAATTATATGACAAAATTTCTAAGTATGAAAACAAATTCAGAGAACCACGCCTTATAACTGAAATTAGAAAACACTAAAAACTTAAGAGCACAAGAGTGCACTAAGTACATTAAACTAAGACAAACTAAAAATGCTGTAAAACAGATTGAGAGACCTGGATTATAGTTACTTATTAGCTATGAAAAATCCCAGGAAAAATCATTTAATTTTTCCGAGTTTCAGTTTCCCACCAATAAAATGAGAATAATAATCTTTGTTTTCTATACCTCACAGAAAATATAAATTAATCCTTGGAAATAACCTCCTAACTGAAAAGCCTTGAAAAAGAAAGTCCATGAATCATGTCTCTTGAGATTCGGAGAAAGAAAAGAAAAAGCTATCATTTCCATGAAGTCTCACCTGAAAGCAATGGGTTTACTCAGGTAAGAATTAATATTCCATAGTTTTCCTTTATACTATATTATAAACAAAAGGATAACTTGCTTATAATCTGCTACACATTGAATGCGGATTCAATGTTCTTTAATTCTTCAGCAANAAAAAAAAAAAAAAAAAAAATCAAGCTCTTCTTTCTAAAAACAAGGTATCAAGTTACTATCTTAAGATTTATTCTCCAACAGAAATATTCAACTTTTTTTCCTAGAGAATCATTGAGCAACCAAATATAAGTGAAAATAAAAAAAAATATGTACATATTTAGCTCTAATCTGTAATATTACATTACTTCAACTCTCTTTAAATTATGTATCCAGAATCACTAACATATTTTTTTAAATATGGTAAATTTTGACACAAACTCATGCAAATCATAAAATTATTAAATCTGTCCATTTACAAATTTAAGTGCTTGTAATTGGAATTTACATTTTTATTTAAAAAGGACAAACACAGAGAAAAAAAAAATAAAACTAAAAGGTACAGAAATGAGTCAGTCCCAAAGAAAAAGATATGTTTATAAGGAGCCTTGGAAAAGAAAGCACCACTTCTACCAGGAATAAATAGTGTTAGAAGACTAAGGGAGACAAAAGCTAGGGAAGAGAAAACTGGCTTTTGATTTCAAACATTGTGAATAAAATAAATTGTATGATGAAGTATATAAAACTTGTTATAAAATTTGCCTTTTATTATATGCTTCCGGAATTGAAAACAAAAACATTCCTAAAAATGTGGTCATTTTCCTTCTTTCCTGCCAACACTTTCTTCTTTTTAAAATATAATAGTCTCAATTTCTATTTTCTTACCATAAAGAAATTTAAAACTAAAATATTCAAATTTACTAAAAATGAGAATTCAATTTTTTTGAAGTCATAAGACAAATATATTGAAAAGAAAAGCTTTTATTAGAGTTTCAAACAACAAATTAAAGTCTGTATTTTGACTTTAAAAGGAGGCCAGGACTGTCTTTGAAATAAATTTGTATTTGAGTAGCAGTAAAAGTCATAAAACAGAGCTAAAGACATAAGAAGTGAGAATTAGTCAACTCAATTTTAAACAATGTGAAAGATATGTTTAGTTAACTGTAGAATCAGAGTTAACATTTTACTCATTTATTTTCATGTAATTGAGTGCCTCTAGCAATGAAGGTCAGACAGCAGAAGACCCTTACTTTCTAGCTGAACAGTGGATTGTAAAGAAACATTTCATTTCTTTTGGCTTTCTTGGAATGAAAAAAGAAAACCACACCATAAAGGTGGTATAAAGGGTCATAGTATTTTATAACAGGATGCAGGAGACTCTGTAAACAGAAGAAAGTCTAAGCAAACCCCAGCAGGACTGATGTGTCTTCTTCAATCATGGGGAACACAACCCTATCAATCAGTTGTCATACTGTATCACAATAGTAAAGGTTGATTTTTATTGCTTTCAATCCCTGAACACTGCACACTAGTCTCCCCATAACAGTTTAATTGTTTCAAGCTGAAGGCCAAAAGCTTTAATTTCTTTTCTAATGTTCTCTGGTTCTTTCATTTTCTGGTCACCAGAATCTGCGTGGATACACCTGTTTGATATGAAATAGGGAAAACAATCTTTTCTGCACTTAATATAAAAGGTTATCTTTTTATTTGCATCAAAAGCATTAACACATAAGAAGCAAAAAATTAATATTGAACCACAGAGTTTGTCAAACATTTTTTTAGGTTTTCAGACTTCTCTCTGCAATTTTGCTTAACGTAGGCAGGTATAAAAGCTATTTAGAATTGCATTCATACTAGAAGACTGATTTTGTAAAAGGTAGACTTTTTTCTACTTTAGCTATCACAGTTATTCATTTTAAAATATTTTAATACAAGAGCTGTTAAGTCTGGAATTTAGACCTTTTTTTTCTTTTTTTTCCTCAGATGGACATTAATTCTTTTTGCCTTTTCTCTCCAGTTACCTGAGAAGCATTTTCATAATTCCAAGGAACCTTTACAAATGAAAGTGCCTATTGGAGAAAAGTTATCTCATTAAAGGGAAAGTGAATAAAGCTAATGTTACCACCATGTGACTTTCAAAAATCACATTTTCGGAATTACTTTTAGTGTTTTTCCCATCACTAAACACAAGCTAAGAAAAACATCAGTTATAATTTATGCCTTATCCAACACAAGATAAATTTTGTACACTATATATAATGTACATTTAAATAAATATCAAGTCATTATGACAATGTGCTACAAAAACAATAACTTGAAAAGAACAGATATCTTTATGAGCAGCTCATATCCAGATCATTTAGGTTGTGTGACTGCATATCAAAAGCAGCTTATCATTCTTACTCCTCTAGTTTAAAACAGTCTACTACCTTTTAGGCCAGGGGAATTTTTAGTTTCAGAAGGCTTGTAAAGAAATGAGAAGGTGTGAAAAGATATTCTGAAGATACAAAATTGGCCAATTTCAAAAATGGATAATTTGTATGCCTGAGAATTCTATTCACTGACATTTTTTAGATTATTCATTTCCTAGATTTTCTTAGACCTGTATTTCAAACTAACTCAATAGTAAAGTTGTATATAACTACCCATAGAACACATGCAGTAGCCTCAAAGGAAACATGAAGAATAAGTTTTTTACTGAAGTTCTTATAATTCACATTCTCTTTAATTTCAATAATGAATTTACTATTTTTCTACAAAAATACATTATTATTCAAGATATATTTTCATAGCTATTTTATTCATTTAAAAAAACATTTATGATTAATTCATATAAAACAAATCTAAGTCTAGGCTGCTGCTTCAATTGGTAAATTATTCTAAATGATTAGGATAGGAAGGCAGAACATACTAAAGAATGAGTCCAAAATCTCACACCAAAGGGTTCTTTGTGTCCTAAAATGTTAAATGGCCACATATTTTCTAAGGCTAACTTAGCCAGGACTATGATCACCTGTTGAGTGTTCTGTGGAATGATTTGATATTATACATCAGGAGAGACAGAAAAGGTCACCAGTCAAAAGAACAAATTAGTGGTGAGGCCAGACAATAAATTATTACTTAGATGAAGAAAAATTGCAAAAGCAATGAAAAGTTCAAAGCCAGTGAGTAGAATGAAAAGCAACAAGGGTGACACTACGATACAAGGATGAAGAATAGTCAACAGCAACTACAAACTAACATTGGGAAGCTAATAAGTATATGACAAAATACTAGGAATTTTATATATGCTCTCTTATTCGACTCTTAAATTAAAAAGGGAGGTAACTATCAGCATCATCTCTATTTTTCAAATAAGAACTGAGGCTCAGAGAAGTGACGTGCCCAAGGTCACACAGTAAGTGACAGAACTTGCATTCCAACCCAGATTTGACTGCAAAGCTTGTTTAACTACTTACTTTATTCTGTCTCAAGCTATCTCCCATTTTTCAGGGGGAAAATGAGGTAAATAAAGTGTAACATACCTTTCAGGGTTAAATTAAACAGAATTTCTTATGATTTCAAAGATACTCCTTAAAAAAGAAATAGGTCTGCTGTCTACTCCCTCAAAGAGGCTGGGGGGAAGACTGTGATTAGACCAAAAGCAAAAAGAGTACACAGTTGGAAAATGCATAACAAAAAGAAGCAAATGTCAGTAGAAGCATCTCATCTGGTTCTCAAAGAGCTTAAAACAAGAGACAACAAATTAAGAATAAATTAAAGTTCAAAAGGTAATATATTCACATGGTTTAAAAATGAAAGCAATACTAAAAGATATTCAGAAAAGTCTCATCCTTACCCTTGCCTCCATCCATCTCATTCTTCTTCTCCCATCAAAGGTAATAACTTTTATTAGTTTCATGTGTATCTCTCTAGAATTTCTTTATGTAAAAATACATTTATTAATGGGCTTATTTCTTCAATTTCTTATACATACTAAACACACTGAGTTTCATTTTGCTTTTCTCACCAACAATATGAGAATAATTGACACTACAATAGAATAAAAGCCTGTTAGATAATGAGATAATTTTAAAACATGACCAAAATCTATACTGACAAATACCATTATTCTAATACTAACATTAAATATATTAAATTTAAAGGTTCCAAAATACAAAAAGTTACCTTCCTTTAACACTTAATCATCTTTTTAGCTACCCAAGCATTCAGCTATTAACCATCTGGCAATGATTGAGTATTCTGTAATATAATGGTTTTTCTCTCCTCTTCTACACTTCCTCAAGTAACAAACATATGTAAATAACTCTTCACCTTAGGCAGAGCCTTCTCCTTCGGGCATAGAAAGTTCACATTATTGTCATAAGATGATCTTCCAAATATAGTTTCTTTTAAAAAATTATATGTATTTAAGGTATATAGCATGATGTTTTGATATACATATACATAGTAAAATGATTACTAATCAAACACATTAGCATATCCATCTCCTCACAGTAACCTTTTTGTTATTTTGTGATAAGAACATTTGAAATCTATTCTCAGCAAATTTCTAGTATACAATACAATATTATCAACTATAGTAATCAGACTGTGCATTAGGTCTTTATAGTTTTAAATCCTAGTAAATCTTTGAATTTGCTAGAAAATACTACGCAATGTAGAGGAACCAGGGAACAGAAAGGTACTTATTACAGTGAGTCCAATCATAGAAACTCAAACTATCAAAAGTCAGAAAAACATCTAACCAAAAATTTAATTATTTTCATGTATAACAAATCATACCATATGGCACTTTAAAAATAGAGTGATACAGTTAAAAAAATGACTTTTACTGTAAAACATTGGAAGTTAATGATCCAAATAAAAACAATTATAGCTACCTATGCTAAGAAAAAAACATGCAAAAGTGAAAAAGCTGAATGGATAAATAAATAATGGCTAGCATTAATGGACAATGAACAAAATAACAGGTCAGAGGCTGGTAGCCACGGCAACAGCTTTCAGACACTGTAAACACAGCTTCCAAGTACTGAGGCCTCCTATTATTTGACTTAATCATTAACAATGATTCAAAACATTTGTCATAACAATGAATAAACCATAAAACAATGCTTTAGAACTGAATAGTTCAAAGCAAACTCTCACTTACCTTCCCTGTTAGAACGGAGGGAAATTCAGTATCAAACTTGTTGCTCAAGCCAAACCTTCAAAACAAAGACAGAACAAAATATGTTCCACCCAGCATATTTAACTCTTTCCTTTTTATTTATTTATTTATTTTATTTATTTATTTATTTATTT